CTACTGCTGCTACTACGACTACTACTACTAGCACCACTGTTTACTGCAATTTGGCTTCACGGGATTATTTGGGGGTCTGTGATCCTGTGGGGGGCCTGCGACCTTGACAACCTTGAGGGGGGGGGGGGGCGGGGGGGGGGGGGGGCGGGGGGGGGGCGGGGGGGGGGCGGGGGGGGGGGCGGGGGGGGGGGGCGGGGGGGGCGGGGGGGGGGGTTTTTAATCAGGGGTCAACATTACCCGACTCCTATGTTAGGGCTGTAGTATAATAGAGCTTTGCAGAAACCCACATTGCATAATTCGACACCTTTTCGCCCACACACAAATACAACAAAACCTAAAATACTAGGGTTTCGTGCGTCGTTACATACTACCAGGACCGAACAAGGTTTTCTTACAAGAGGCTCATCATCATCATCCTCGTCGTCACCATCATCAGCATCATCATCATCATCCGCATCATCATCAGCATGACCATCACCATCACCGTCACAACCACTATCATCATCTCCCGTCTTGCTCGTTGTTGTTTGCTGCGCATGCCAGCATCAATCCCCCAAGCCTGTGCCTCGTTGGGTCCTGTCCCGGCCGAACGCTGGAAGCCACCTCTCATGACCTGGAGCTTGGCTGCAAATCTTCACAGCTGGGTTCAGAGTAAATCCCCGACCACAGGCTCTTGGAAAATGGGCCGAGGGTCTCGTGGCTCCATGGTGTTAGATTAAGCCCAGCATTGGCACTCAACGGAAATCCCAAGTCACAGAGAAGAGCTGTGGGTTGAGGCATGTAGGCCGTTTATAATCGTGCAAGGTTCAGTGCGTCCGTTTTCTCGTTTTCGTCTTAGGCTCCAAGTCAAGCGCCATCCTTGAATAAGTATGTATGACATGCAGCATGCACGGCTTGACTTTTTCTGCACCACATTCCCATGCTGGCTCTTGCCACCCTCACTGCCAAGCAGCTTTGTAAGAGTCGACATTCGGGTGCATTGAAAGGTCGACATTTGGGTGTATTGCAAGATGTTATGCTCGTAGGCTTGGAACTGCACCTAGGCAAGCGGGGGCACATTGGCACCCGCGTGTATTAGTATACTAGCAGCTTGCTGTGAGCGCATCATCGCCAGCGCACTGGTTCGGGCCGGAATTAGCTGCAACTAGCGCGTCCATGCTCGCCTTCATCTCACTGTCGGAGCAGCAGCCACTGTCTTTGATGCACTAGACGAAGGTGTTTGCGACACTGCACACCTGGCTAACGACATTGTCGCCGACCTGTGCGTTGCTGAAAGCGGTGGAGAAGGTGGTACTACAACTGGCAGCGGCGTCCGTGTTGCAGCCACAGCCCTCGAGGCTCAGGCACACGCAAGCAAGGACCGCAGGCACTTCGCCACGAAAGACATGGACACAAGGAAACACGGGAGCAGAAATGGCAGATGTTGCACGTCTCCAAGCCGAAGCTTTGAATGCCCAGCCAAACTGAGTTCAACTATCGGCTCTCTGATTCATGCAGGCATCTGCTGGCTTACCAAGTGCCTCCAACTAATATAGGGGCCTGAATAATTAGAACAGGGTCTCGGGGCGCCTTATACTATAAATATGACAAGGAACCTCTCAAACAGTATAGGCAATCATTAAGCCCCTTTTGATCCTCTTTGTTATGCACTCGAACTCAGCTGTGCTGACGTGCTTACGCCGCTGGGATGCTTGAGCAATCAAGGCAACGGTCACGCAATCCCTGGACCAGAACATTGGGAGCCTCTGCGCTGCTTTTCCAGATTTTCACTGTTCCATGAACACCCCATAAAATGCCGAACATCAAAACGTCTCATACGCCAACCACAAGCTCCCTGAGCTCGCTCTCTCTCTCTCCCTCTCTCTCTCTCTCTCTCTCTCTCTCTCTCTCTCCCTCTCTCTCTCTCTCTCTCTCTCTCTCTCGCTCTCTCTCTCTCTCTCTCTCTCTCTCTCTCTCTCTCTCTCTCTCTCTCTCTCCCTCTCTCTCTCTCTCTCTCTCTCTCTCTCTCTCTCTCTCTCCCTCTCTCTCTCCCTCTCTCTCTCTCTCTCTCTCTCTCTCTCTCTCTCTCCCTCTCTCTCTCTCTCTGAGCTCCCTCTCTCTGAGCCTCTCTTTCTCTCTATGAGAGTGCAGGGAGAGACAGCGAGAGAGAGGGAGAGCCAGTGCAACTGCAGCTGCATTACTAGTCCTTGGCTGCCTAAACCCCCCTCGAATGCAGAGCTTAAAAGGCTTCTGGTTCGATCCCAGCCTTTTCTTACAAACTCTAAACCTCCAAGGCCTGAGCAAGAAAACCCTGAAAAGCTTTATTAGGGCTGTTGGGTTTCAGCGTGGGATTTTTAAAACCTTGGAGCTTTGCTCCCCGTGCTCAGCCTCTCCGTGCCAGGTCTTGATGTGTGCGGAAACTTCCTTGCCGAGGCACCTGCGACTGAGAAGCACCCTTGGGGGCCTAAATCCCAAACATTTCGAAAGGGACTGCCGCTCGTTGCCTCCAAAAATGCTGAACTTTCGGGATTGGGATGCAAAAACTTCACAAGTCAGCAGCAGCTGTCAACGAACTTGCTGGCCCGGAGATTGCGATAAGTCAGCATGTCTCGGACCCTTATGAAACCACCACACTCCAACTCATCAATACTTGTCGCTCCTTATGTATTTGCTACGCCTTCGTTCAGGTCGGCGACCACCACGGCAATTACATTTACAGGGCAGTCTGGGTCCACTCATCCCAGCTCTTGAGTTTAATGTTCTCTAGCTCATGCTGGTTCAAGGCGATGAGAAGCAATCCCTAAACACAAACCCACCAACATGCATGTCCCACTAATGCTCGACACTCCTGAATATACTTCTCCAGGCACGTCTTGGTCTCTGGTCCTCTGGCCTCATATTGAGCCAAGGTATCCTCTCCTAGAGTGCCTGAGATGAGTATTTTGCAATGCGCCACCGAACAGGCTCGTCGGATCATTGGGGGCCCCTATAGATTTATATTGGTGCCGTCAGCTAGGAGTACCGGGGAGCCCTAAACCGTCAATGTACGATGCCCAAATTCCTCAGCTCGAAAATCCTAACATCAAACTTAAAGCCCTAAGGAATAGAGATAGCATCCAAATCACATCAGATTGTGTTCTAATATAGTCTTTTGTATCTTGCTAGAAGGAATAGAGATAGCATCCAAATCACATCATATTGTGTTCTAATATAGTCTTTTGTATCTTGCTAGACTTTGCAGTACAATTCTATAGTTAATGTCTCGTAATATACTAAAGCCCGAGCTCCCTTGGCCTCAGCTTCCGTGGCAGCTCCGCAGAAAATTGCCATCTCAAGGCTCCCAGGAAGAGATCAGGATTGAGGCTTTCAGGGTTTAGGGTTTAGGCTTGCAGGGTTGGCGGCTTCAGGTTTTAGGGTTCTGGGTTTAGGGTTCAGGGGCCTAGGGTTTCAGTTTAAGGCTCCCAGGATTTAGGATTTGGGGCTTAGGATCCTTTCCTTCAAAGCGAAATCACTAATTTAGGGCTTCGTGAGCCTCAGGGGGGTGCGGGGGCTTTGGGGTCGAAGCCCGTTGCACTTCAAGCTGCGAAAGCGCTGGGTCTGAGGGATTACTTAGCGTGTAGGGTTTTGGGGTTTAGGGTTTAGGGTGCAGAGTTTGGCTTTAGGGCCCAAGCGTGTAAGGTCGTTTCAAGCTGTGAGGTTCAGCGATTTGCGAAGTCTTGAAGGCTTCATGGTGCTTCCCCCATCGACAGTTGGGGGCCACGACAAGGACCATCATAAGAGACACACGCCCCAATTTAGGTTATGGGTTTACTTGTCAGGTTGCTAGGTTGGGCAAACGACATCGGAACTCATTCGAAAGACGCAACAGTCGGTGAGGCATCCATCGAACTGACTCGCGTGAAGCAGAGCCATACACCTTCCGGAATATAAAGCTGTTGCAACCGGACATATTGAAATTAATTAAGGGTGGGACCTTTGAGACATCGATCGAAGCCCAAGGGGGCCTATGATAAAACTTAAAGCCGGAGATCGTTTGAAGGGCATCAGCTGCAAAGACTTTCGTCGAATTCGCTCTGAATGCTGAATTCCACAATAATTTTGACTACGATTCCAAAAAAAATATACACCATTCAAACAACTAATTTCGAGTTGCAATTTTAACTGGTAAGTAGTATGCTAAAACAGTATCAGTATCCTCCTCCTTCTAGTCGAGTGCCAGTCCTGCGGACATGACTGCTGCAACACTACCACGACAACAACTAATCCTGCCTTGTTGTCGCTACTTGCACTTGCGGCTGCAGTTGCTACTACGACTATTGCGAAGCAGAAAACATTTGCAGAAATACAACTTAACTTACATATACAACTATTCCGTTTTCTGCAGATGGTCAGGAGGCTACACCCGCGAAAGATGACTCTGACAAAGGTCATGGTAGTTTGATAAGAGCAATCCCCCCAACCACAACCATCATCAGTGCTATCAAGACATGCTCAATCCCCTAGACTTTACTGACTCATGATCATCCTCATCGGACATCGACCTCATCTTCGTGAAGACATCGCAGAGGGCTTGGGAAGGATAACGGCATGAACGATTCGGCCTCTGGAAGCCCCGTCCTTACCGAGCCGTCACGTGCTGGAACGCGGACTCGTTTAAAATGCTCTTGACCTCTTCCATAGCCTAAAGCCTACGTCTTTGCAGCCAAACCTTTGCCTGGAACCGCAAACACCCACGCATGGAACTCAACTTCCCTGCAACGCTCAGGGAATTTCTTAGGGTTGAAGGTCTAGACTTTGGCTTCAGACGGTCTTTTGCAGACAGCAAACAGTTGCTGGCTGGTACGCAAGGAGCTCCATGGCCTCCGACACTCGAACTAAGTCCTGAACCGCAGGCCCTACCCATAGGCCCCATAGTAGTTGAATCCCATAAGGTAATCCCAAAAGGAACTACTTTGGGGCCTATGGGAAGAGAACCCAACACGAAGCCCTACACCTTGAAATCCTACGTCCTCTTTGTCAATCCGGGCAGCTTGCACCGTCAGAGCTAAATAATCGAACCAATGAGTCCACAATTTCGGTACCTCAGCCCGATACACCCGAAACTGCCCTAAACCTTTAGTCGGGCCATGGAGAACCCCCCCTAAAGTTACGAAGCACGACACTACCTCGTTCGGACCTGGGGTTGCTGAAGCACAGGAGGATGCCTTTTAATCATAGGAGCTCTACTATAGGGGGCCTCAATAATTACAGTAGAAGAAAGAAGGGTTCCGTTAAAAGGGGTCCTTTAAAGGGCTACTATAAGGGACCTGTAAGGGTAGTATACTGTAGGGGCCTTAATAATTAGAATTGGGGTTTGGGGGTACATTATACTACAATTAGAATAAGAAGCCCCCCCAAAAAAATGTGCGGGTGATTGTTTTAAGCCCCTATAGTCTATTAACATGGCTTTAGACGAGTAGCTAATTTCAATCGCAAAGATACCACAACACGATCACCACCAGCAGCACCACCACCACATCCTCGCCCTCGTCCTCCCCCTCCTCCCCCTCCTCCTCTTCCTCCTCTTCCTCCTCTTCCTCCTCTTCCTCCTCTTCCTCCTCTTCCTCCTCTTCCTCCTCTTCCTCCTCTTCCTCCTCTTCCTCCTCTTCCTCCTCCTCCTGCCACTACGGTTGCTACGACGAACTCAACAGCTAGCACTACCACAACCTCATATTATAGCCACAATCAAGGCTCTAGGTTCCTCATAAGTGTTTTAGGTCCTCAGGCTACCCAAACCCGAAATTCCAGACCCCCTCAAGGTTTCAAGGCAACCCCCGGTCCGATTTCCAAGTGGGAGCCCTTCGCCGCCACCCGGAGTCAGATTGCAAACGATGGCTGTTCTTGCCAGGACGCTCAACCCGAATCAGTGCAATACCGGCTGCGAAGTCATTTCAAAGTTCCCCTCAAGTGCCCTTTCGCTGTTGGAGCTGTTGTCGCCTCAAGCCTAGGGTGTTCACCCTTTTTTTGTAGAAACCCCACTTCTAGGGACCCTAAACCCTAAAGCCCAAACCCTAAACCCAAACCCTAAACCTTAAACTCTATACCCGTAACCCTATAAGCCCTAAGCCCTAAAACCCCCAAAATGATCATCGACATCTGCGGCTGCTCAGCAGGAGCTTCCTCTCGGAGCACATCGAGGAGAAGGGTCGCCAATCTGCCGGAAATCCCAAGGGAAGCTCGAGGTTGAGGGCTTAGGGGGTTTATGGGGTTTAGGGGGTTTATGAGGTTTAGGGGGTTTAAGGTTTAGGAGGTCTAGGGCCAGCTTGGGGCTTAGAGCCAGCTTCCTCAGGGCTACTTGAGCCTTGAGGGCTTTAGGTTCAGGACCAGTCCACAGTGTTCACGCCGAACTTTGAGGGTTATGTAACTCAAAGGGGAAAAGGAGGGACCCTTAATAAGGACCCCTAGGTATATACCCTTAACATAGCCAGTATATACCCATTATATAGCCCAATAGGGTAGGGGTCCCCATTAAGGGTCCCTCCTTTTCCCCTTTGAGTAACAGCGTAAACCTGCTCCCGTGCCATAGCGGATGGCTGGGTGTGGAGATGTCAAACTCTCAGAACACAGATGGCTAAAACCTCCCTTTGGCTTCCCCTTTTCTGGGCCAATGGATGTCCCCAACCCCAAAAAAATCCTGAACCTAAATCCCCAAAACCACCCGAAGCCTTCTATTCCAGTTCTCATGGCAATCCCCACCATGAGCCCTAAGACATAAATGGCTCTAAGACTCTAAGGGTATCTCAAGACTGAACCGCATCCAAACTTCAACTCCAGTGAACCGCTACGTAAACCCGACGCACAAGCTCTAACCCTAATCCTTGAAACCCTAATTCCTAAACACAACACCCAAACACCCAAAACCCTTCAACATAAAACTCAAGCCTGGAATCGAAATTAACCCCAAACTGTAAACCCTAAACAGCTTTCAAATCCTATAGAACAAGCTGAAGATGTCTAGGGCCTCCAAGAGGTGCGGTTCACAAAATTGCTCGAATTGTGAAGGCAGGCTGGGCCAGCCTCGGGTGGTTTTGGGTTTAGGTTTTGTGGCTAGGACTGTTGGGCTGGAGTCGTAGTTGAGGGAATCCACGGAAAAATCCATGAGGCGGGACAACTATCGTAATTGCAGGATGACCCAGCTGCTGGTTTGGGGGTACTCTGTGGTAGTTTAGAAACCTGGACACCTTACTGAATTTCTGTTTACCCATCGCAAGCTAAGTTATGCCAAGATGTGACCTAAGGAGCTGAAGCCTTAACTGCGATCCCGACTGGCCTGAAACAGAAAGCAAGCTCACAACCCCCGACCAGCAGCAACTAAACAAACCTGTGGATCCCAATCCGGCGCTCCAGTCCCAATAACCGCTGTTCAGAGAAGGCCCGAGCAAGCTCCGGTAGGGTTTAGGGCTTGTCATCCCGGCACCCTTTCAGAGCTGCGACTCTCAAAACATGTTTTGGGCTTGTGTTAGTCGACCAAACTCGCCGGAACCCACGTCCTTAGAAGGAAACCACCTGATTCCACCCGGCACTAATTACTCCCGTTCAAAATCCGCAGTAAACTCAAACTCAGCCCTCTCCAATGCGACCACTAGAAGCCCAACCCCCTCTCACAAAACTAGTATGCCAAACCCCTGCTAGACCCTCGGGACCTAGATGGCCCGACCCAATGTTGCGCAAAACCTCGGCCGTGGTGTTCGGGTCCCAGGGTTTACGGGTCTATAGGGTTTAGGTTTTAAGGGCTGTCGGGGTCTTGGTTCTGGTGGCTTAGGGACCTCCAGCAGTTCTGGGCCATGAACGGGGTGTCTGTAACGAATATCGTTCACATATGATGACGCGACTTCTTGCCATCATGCATTGGTAACATGAGATAGGTTCGAATATACGCTGCTACAGTTAGGTTTACTTCATACCATTTTAAACAATCAGCACCATATTCTAAAGCTGAAGTATATTCTGCGTAGAGGGTTCCGGCTGGCGATCTGGGTGCTATCTTTCAGATGTCTGTGCATGGCCCTGCGACTTGGGTGTCAGGGCTCTTCTCTCCTTGCCTCTGCCAGTCTTTCACAAACGGGTCCGGGAAACGCTTGCTCTATTTTCGGGGGGTCGGCCAGCGCGAGACTCAGCAGGAGCTTGCCTGCTTGCAACGCGTGTGTCTAGAACTTCCCGGAACTGCTGCGCAAGACGGCTGATAGGGGGTTCATGGTTAACCCTAAGCTCGAAGCCCTCAGCCCTACAAACCCAAAAGCTCTATATCCCTAAACCCCAAACCACTTGGCGCTATGCCTCCAAAGCTCTCA